AAACACTCGGAACGTGCAGAACTTTCCGGACAACCTAATACTAATCAGCTGCTCCAGGAGGGATGGAAGGATTAGATGGTCTGGGATGTTTACTCCAGGATTGGACAACTGAACTGTGTACTTGGGTAACAGCCCTCATAGCGCAGCACCACCTCACCTCTACATTCGAACTAGTTTATAGGAGGCCGAAATTCTGAAATTTCTAGTAGAATTCGATTCTGACCCGTGGACATAAGGCGAAACCTTCACTGGAGCAGGTGGTGGGCATTTGCGACTTCTCGTCGAGGTGGTAAGCGACTCCTCCTGGGCAAATCGCTGGAACATGAAGCAATTAGCTATGCATGAATATGGGGATACGTAGGAACTCACGATGTTGGCTACAACAGTAACCCTGGAAAGCGTTTGGCACGTCGCTTTGGCAGGAGAATGTAGGAGGGCAGCCACCTCCACCAGGAGTTATGTGACACTGTAATGGTAGCTGTGTCGTCGGGTAGCGGAAGAGCGCCCGACCAGCTGGACACACATCTGGAAAGGTTCTTCTTACTGGCCATAATCAAGCACTGACAACATTCGGCACTGTTCGGGCTTGGAAGGGGCATTTTGCACCTCTATCAGTTCCTTCTATCGGTTCATGTTAACAAACAAAACACACTTTGGTCAAACCTGCAAACCCTGTGAAGCTGCGAAATGGTGCAAGTGAGCCGCTTTAGTCACATGAATTTACAGGTCTTCACAAGGCGGCCTGTACAAGCATAACTGAGTGCCCTCCTCCCCCCCCCCAAGCCGAACTGCGCCCATGTATTTCTTTAATCAACGTACTTCCACTGATACTCCCACAACAGTAGTATTTATGATTGTTCTGCGAGAATCGACATAAATACCCAGCTGGGCATTTTCTATCGGCGGCCATTGCACATTGTCTGGGTGCTGATGTAATCGGCTCCACAAACGCCTTTTCGCCGATTGGGCAGACTCCTGTAGTAGTGATTATGTTTGCCAGGCAGGGTACAGCATCGTTGAGAGAATCCCGTCAGGTGGCCGTATTTGGACGCTGGCTAGGGGGGTCGTACTTGGTCGATGAGGGCTGTATGTAGCCCTGACGAATTGTTGCGTGGGCAACGGGAGAATTTTTCACCGGTTTTGGGGGTAGGGGTCGGCATGGTGCCAGCCAGTTCTCTACCAGTTGCTGAAGGGGAACAAGTGTCAACACTTTTTCAAATTGTGGTAACACCGCGCCAAACCCCGCAGTATCTGGGAGACAAACCGGAAAACGAAAAATTTCATGGAAAGTATAAAAAATGCTGGCGAGTTAGGAGGATGGCAAGCAGGATAAGATGAACGAAGCCGTACAGCAGGATGGAGTTCCGGAAGAGGGGGGGGGTGTGCCTGACAACGCCATTCCTGCCAATGCAATGTGAGCCACTTGCCAGTGCCAGTACAAGTACTAAGAACAAAGATGGGTGCTCTGTGCCTCGTGAGGGACCATACCAGCGGGATCCGCACACGCCAACTCCGCCACCCTTTTCTACGAGACATAATATGGTCCAAAATGGTGTTGCCAACGTCAAAACATGTCATGCTCTCTCCTCTAGACGGTTTTCTCGTGTCAGAGCCCTGACTCGAACGGACCGCCAGAATTGCCCCTCTCGAGCCGCGAAATTGCTACGGAAATACTTATGAATCCACGTTCTAATTCACAATTTCCACCATTTCCGTTTATCCTAACCAGTAACAGCATCCGTGATTTGAAGCGCGTGTATCATATACCCCCCTCCTACCTAGGGTTAATTAGGGTCTCGAAACGACCCCCTCTCCTTCCCCAATAACTTTTCCCAATCCAGTTTTTTACACAAAGATTTTCCGTCGAGGGGAAGGGGATATATAGCCAATGTGAACCGTGAAAATTTCTTAGATTTTCCACAACTTCCCACCACTTTTTCCGGGAATTCCCAAAGATATTCCTACTTTTCCCCGAAAATTTTGCTGTCGAGCGGGGGGGGGTAGTATATACACATGAAACAGGAAAAAAAATCACGAAAAGTCAACAACCGGGAAAATTTTTTCCAACGCGGCAAATTTCTCTCAAAGCCACATACGACCCCCTCCTCTCCCAACAACGACCAAATACGACCCCCCCTCCCCAGCGGAAAAGTACGACCCCTGAATGTTTCACACAACGATGCTGTACCCTGTTCTAACAGTCTTGAGGCCTTGAATTGACTTACCCATGCTGTCGGATCCACAACATACGTGTTCTTGAGTAAGTGTGTTCAGAGTGCATTCGTAGTTTGTCGGACAATTGTTGTGCAAGCCGGTATTGCACAAAAACGGCCGATTGGTGTTGGGATCCTGAAGTTTTATTGTCTTTTATAACGGCTTCTGTCCTTTTTTAAGCACCACTTGCTCAAGTCACAAGCACTGATGGCAGATGAAGCAAAAACTCCACTGAAAATTCCACGTATGTGAAGCTCCCTACCTTGTAGACGGTATCTCCCGCTTTACATCCGGCACTCTGACAGAACTCCTCACATTCGACTATTGTTTTGAATGAGTTCAGCGACGTGTCACATCCGTTTGAGGAATACGGAGAACATGTCTGTAGCGCCACATTGAAGTAGTACCTGAAAAGTTATAAAGGACATGGAATTCTACTCGAAAGTCGTTTTCGCTGCAGACGATGGGGCGTAACAGGAGGTGGGGCAGGGAGGGTAGGCACGGGACCACTTTCATTGTCTACAAATCGTTGCCGCTTGCCCTCTTCAGCAATTTTTCAGAACCGGCTGGAGCTATCCCTAACACAGCTCCCTGACACGCCCCATCGTCTGCAGACAAACGACTGAAAAAATTCTTGTTAAGCGTCAAGAATTCGAGAAAAAAGATTAGGAGGTGGGCATTACCTCATTTTCATCATTTGAGGACACGCTCCACTGCTAGCATTTTTCGGGCAGCATACCATTTGTGTGGTTTCGAACAGATTGACGCTGTAACCAAGAAATGGCATTAATAACTCAAGATTCCTTCGCTAGAATCGAGCCTACTATTCAGAGCACATCACTGATTTTGGCCGAGTCTCGGCCACCCCACCCCACCTTCCTTCCGGAAAAGGTGGCTTGTACGACTTTCCCTTCTAGTGACGCCCCTCTGAAACGACGGCGAGCTTGTGGAGCGGGTTATATACCACATACAGTCCCATCCATTACAAATGTCGGGGCGCACAGCCGCTGCAATGTGATGCGTACAGCCTGCCCGGCTCGGTGACGGCGAACTCAGCTGATTTTTCATGAATTCGGCTGCGAATTCCCAACTTTTCCAAACCACTTCACTTCGAAAGTGGAAAGGTGAGCCTGTTTTGAGGTCAATTTTAAATCGTACTGCCTCTGAATGACTCATGCAAGCCTTTCGAGAAAATGCCTGAAATAAGGCACAAAACTGTTCAGAGTAACTCACCTTCCACTTATAGAAGCTTGAAGAGCTGAAAAAGTAGGAATTGAATTTCACCGATCCATCGAAATCAACGTGATTCACGTGTCACCTGAGACGCAGCCAGCGCTCACAGTGGCAGCGCGGCTGTGCCGCCCCGACAGTCCGTTATCATGAGGACTGTACGAAACACGAAAAACCGCGAAAATTCAAGAGCCGGGAAAAGCTTTTTCTAGTGACGCGAATTTCTCTCAGAAGGGAATACGATTCCTTATAGCGTCGGCAGACAAGAAAAGATCACTAAAAATTCTTTCATACCCTCGCGACCGAAATACGACCTTTCTAGTGTAGAATCCCCAAGAAAGTGTGCCCGTTATTAGTTGCCTAGCCAGAACACAATTGCGACAAGCGTCGTACTCATGGTGGCTCCAGCAAGTTGGTGGAATTGTCGTAGAGGGGAGTGTGGGGTCGTTGTATGATCTTCAAATAATAAGTTTTTGGTGTTGACTTTATCGTTTCACTACTTAAAAGTGCGCTATATACCTCTCTCCGCCCCTTAGCCCCCTCCCTTAATTCGACCAGGCAGTTTCTTGGGAGAAAAGAGAAGGACCCTAGTACTTAAAATCCGGGAAATATGGTAAGTGTAGGGTTGTTTTTGAAAATTTTGAAAGATGTCGATCGGATGGGAGAAGACGGGTGGGTAATAATCAGAGGGGTATCTGAGGGAGTCACTACCAATTTTAAAGTAAATGAGAACTATGAACTTGGCTTGTAGTTCGCGGCATAGCGTCCCCGAGCCTACGTATCGCGCACAACCAGTCCGAGTTTTTCAGCATCTTAATGAGTTGAATACAACGGAGAACTCGTCGATTGGGATTGCCCTGTGAGAAATGCCGACGACACGTGACGTACCGCTGCACTCACCCGGCGATCTAGCGTTGCGCCTCGTGGTTCACGAGTGGCGATCGCCCGATCCATACTATAACTGCGCGGGATCGGTTCGTTCATGAACACACAGTTTGCGAAAACCGGTGCTTGGAACATGGTACGTCATCGTTGCGATAACCAGACAGGGAGTCGTATTTGACCGCGAAGGGGGTGAGGTCGTATTTGGTCTGAGAAAAAATTTTCGACAGTTGATTTCTCTTGTTTCACGGACGCAAAAAAAAAGGGGGTCGTAACTGAAGAGGAATTTCGCGGCGTTGGGAAAAAACTTTCCTCCTGGTTGTTGGCTTTTTTTGGGGTTTTTTTCCGTCTCACTGGTGTTATATACCCCTCCCTAGTTAGCTACATTGCCAAAGATTAATACTGCTACTATTTCCAATAGTTGAAAATAGTACTTGGTTCCTGACCCCCCCCCCCTCTCACACTTCAGCGAAATTTGGGAAAAAACTAAGAAGTTCGTGAAATGTCGAACTCCCCTCCTACTTATTGTATTAGATGGAGGAACGGATCCCTCAGATAGAAAAATGTTTCTTAAAATCGCTTTCCATTCTTCCTGGACACATAGAAAGACATTTTGAATTTAAATTATGTAAAAACAAATGTTAACAAACTTTTAGTCGGACAGCATCTTCGTTGAGTTACACCATTCGAATCCACTTGACTGCATTCGTAGCCAGACGGGCACGGATCAGACGTTGAACAGGTACGCAGCTTTTGGTTCATTCTCAGAGGAGAACCTCCGTTTGGACATACTGTAATCGAATGGCAATAGCGGGAAAGTTACAAAATACATATAATTAAAGCCCATTCCGACAGATGGCCAGAGAAAAGGCAGGGACTCGCAACATTTGTGCCAAAAAGTGATGCAGCCATGATCAAGGTGCAATTGTTGCGAGTCTCCGCCCATCCCATAACCGCGGAAAGTGCCTTTGAGTGATAAATGTAATGAGATATGTCTAGAAGTAACGAAGTAGTGGTACGAAAGGTTAGGGAGGGTGTGTGAAAGTCGAAGGCTCACCTGCTATTTCGCAATAATTTTGGCATTTCTCTGCTGATGGGAAATTGTTGGAATTACCATCACAACCAAGGAACAAAAACGATTGGCACTCCTAAGATAGTAAATTAAGAGAAGAGTCTCCAACGAAACTGTTTCATGTATAATAAAATGTCCTATGAAGCACAACCATTCAAAGTGAATTCTCTACAAAGTTGAGCAGTTGGGGGGGGGATGATACGCTTGAAGTCTAAGTAAGCCTGTTACTTCAACAATGAGCAGTCCAAATATTCAATCATTCCACGGCTACTGCATGTGCGCAGACGTCGCAAGATGGTAGAGGAGAGAATGTCAATGAGCGACGCTCGATGGTGTGACTCACCCTACCCATGTGGTTAGCATAGACTGCATTGTCGAAAGTAACCTTCGGGAGGTGAGTTACTTGCCATTGCCACGCTGCTACCTTCGTTAGTGAGTGCAGAATCACGGTACGTTGTAACGTTGGGGATCTTCAACAAGAGGGGTCCTATCTGGTCACTGGAGGGAGTAGGGGTTGTAGTTAACCTTGAGAAAATTTCTTCCGTAGCTGAGCTTACCTCTTCCACCGCTGAATGATAATTTATGCAGAAAAATCGGGGAATTTTGTGGTAAGGAGGAGAAGAAACTTTTAAGGGGAGCAACTTGGGAGATTTTATGAAGATTGTAATCTCAACTATCGAAAAAATTTCCATAGACCCCTCCCATCGGGCAAATACGACCCCCTGTTAGGGAATCCCAACAACGATGTGCTCTGTTTTCAGAACGGTGGGGGCGGATTCGTACCAGAAGAGGAAATTTTGACGGGAATCATACAATTATTGCTAGGCCCCTCCCTGCCCATAAAAACTCTAGTCTCCGGGAAAGAAGGATATGGCATGGAGTGGTGGCATGACCATGCAATTCAGAATGGATCATGATTTCAGTTCCCCTCTGAAATCGGGACGACATTTCATTGTGTGCCTGCCCCGAATACTGTAAGATGGCTAACCAATAATAGGGCTCAATCCTTCTCAGAGAGTAAGGCACCAAGCTGCCTGAACATGAACCTCCAGGCCGCGTTTCCGTCTGTAGGATGAGAACCATAACAATTTGTCATAATACTCGAACAATTAACCGCGTCAATGCTGTCGCGATATCTACAGACGCTTGGAAGAACAACCAATTTACCTTCAGTTGATTATTGTAGTAGAAACGATAGCTAGAGCCAGATCCACAAGTGACACCTTTGCTTACTTGAAGTGAACAGGTGTAGGCTGAAAACATGGGCCGAGAATAACCCAGATAACTCACAGGGCTCATGGAAAACGACAGCTCACCTTTACTCGGACAGCATCCATGAATAAGACCGTCAAAAATGCATTCGTAGTTCGCTGGACAAGCGTTTCCACCGATCCCTTCACCACATTGTAGGAACTTTCCGGAATAGTCCACATAGGCTCTGCCCTGAGGGCATTTCGGCTCAGCTGCAAAAAAAGATGATTGAGGAACCAAGAGCTGATTGTCCTCTCATCAGACTTTGGCTCAGATTATC